CAATTTTTAACCTGGATAAAGAATTAGTTGGTACCTATTATGAATGTTTGTGTGTCTGGCTCCAGAGAAGTTGTCTTGGTCAGCAGGATGACAGGAAATAGAACTGATAATATTAAATGAAATTAGAATCTGTGTCAGAAGGAAGGTTGGGCGATTTATTTCTGTAGTGATACTGCCTCAGAAACCCAAGGAGGGGTCGCTACAAGTTGGATCCAACTTGATGTCAGGAAGTTTTTTTTTTAAATGACTTTATCACTAAGATAGGTAAATATCAAGTCAAGTCTTAGTACACATCCTGACTGCCAAATAAAATTTTTGCCTACTGAGTTTCTACTCCAAAACAAACCTCCCTTCCATTGAGTCTATTCCAACTCATAGTAACCTCCATTGGTTTCCAAGGATTAAATCTTCACAGAATCAGACTGTTTCATCTTTCTTCCATACAATGACTGGTGGGTTCAAACTCCAACATTGTAGTTAACAGCCAAATGCCTTTACCACTGGACTACCAGAATCCCTTGTGTTGCTACAAAAAAAAAAAAAAAAAAAAAAGTCAATGCCATGGAGTTGGTTTTGACTCATAGCATCCCTCCTTGGGTTTCAAAGGTGGTATCTGTTAGATTTTGGATGCTAAGAGGAACAGAACCAGAGTAAATTGTTAGGAAAAAAATAAGTTTTATTGAATCATCTGTCTAGCAGATGGGCATCAGCCCTGATCCTGTCTCCTCAGGGTGTTTAAGTAGTGTTTTAATGTAGGTGGTAGATTCTTGTTTCAAAAGAACCAATCTTAAATGCAGAAGAGGAACTAAACACAAGGAAGGGCAGGAACAAGACAAGCCCAGGAAGGGAGACAAAGGGTCCAAGCAGAAACTGAGGGTGGGGATGGGAGCAGCTTAAAAGTGGGAAAATAGACAAAGAACCCCACCTAAAACTGGAGGTTTTGGGTGGGGACACCTGGAAGGCAGTAAGAGACACAATGGGTCTGAGCAGAAATTAGGGGTTGGAGACTAGGAGAGTGGTGAGAGAGAACAGAAGCTGAGTACATATAGGCAGGCTGGGTAGAGAGTGAAGGATTTATCTATTAGTATCTTTAAGGAGCTCTGTTAGCATAGTGCCTAAGGCACTTGACTGCTAACCAGAAGGCTGGCAGTTCAAATCCACCAGCCACTCCTTGGAAGGAAAATGGGGCAATCTAATCCCATAGTGATACTGCCTCAGAAACCCAAGGAAAGGTCACTATGAGTCGGGTCCAACTGGACGGCACATAACACAACAACATCTTTATGGAAGTAGGTTGCCCAGCCTTCCGGAGAGTGGCTGGTGGGTTTGAACTGTCAGCTTTTCTGGTTAGCAGTCAAATGCCTTAAGCACTATGCCATCCAAATTTGTAACTAAGGTAGAGATTTAGTTTGTTAAGATAAAAAAGCAGACTGCAGATGTTAACAGAACATCAGCCCCTGGCAGAATAATTTTTCAAACTCCCAGGAGGTAACAACCTCAGAATGTAACAAATAAGCCTAAAAATCATGTTTAAACTTGTAATTTATCAAACTGCTTTTAACTTTGGCCATGCTTCCTCCCCCTCCACTATGTGTCTCCACCACAAATTCTTTGTTTACTATACATTTACAAAATTTTATTATTCTCCGTGCAATTTGGAATGTCTGTAAATGTTTCCCCATTTCATGAAATGATTTTATTCCTTCAATAAAAATTTCATTTTAATTTCTAGCTTAACATCAATCTAGTTTTTTCACTATGTTCATGCAGAACCTGTATATAGACCAAGAAGCAGTCATTCAGATAGAACAAGGAGATACTGAGTGATTTAATCAGTAAAGATGTGCATAATGGTTGAATCTTTTCACTATACTTTATTCAATTTGTATACTGAACAAATAACCCAAGAAGCTGGACTGTATGAAGAAGAAAATGGCATCAGGATTGGAGAAAGACTCATTAACAACCTGAGATAAGCAGATGACAAACCTTGCTTGCTGAAAATGAAGAGGATTTGAAGCAGCTACTAATGAAGATCAAAGACTACAGCATTCATGATGGATTACACCTCAACATAAAGAAAACAAAAATCCTCACAACTGGACCAAAAAGCAACATGAAGGTAAACAGAGAAAGATTGAGTTGTCAAGGATTTCAATTTACTTGTATCCACAATCAATGCTTGTGGAAGCAGCAGTCAAGAAATCTCAACTAGTGCATTGGACAAATCTGCTGCAAAAGAACTCTTTAAAGTGTTAAACAGAAAAGATGTCACTTTAGGGAGTAAGATGCACCTGGCTTCAAGCTCTGCCTCATATGCATGTGAAAGCTGAACAATAAATAAGGAAGACCAAAGGAGAATCAATGTCTTAGAACTATGGTGTTGGCAAAGAATATTGAATGTATCATGAACTGCTAGAAGAATGAACAAAATTGTCTTGGAAAATGTACAGCCAGAATGCTCCTTAAAAGTGAGGATAGTGAGACTTCATCTCAAGTACTTTTGTTATCAGGAAAGATCTGGAGAAGGACATCATGTTTGGTAAATTAGAAGATCAGCAAAAAAGAGGGAGACCCTCATCAAGATGGATTGACATAATAGCTGCAACAATGGGCTCAAACATAGCAATGATTGTGAGGATGGCATAGGACTGGGCAATGTTTTTTTCTGTTGTAGATAGGGTCTCTGTGAGTCGGTATAGATACAATGGCACATAACAACACTATGATGAATACTTCAACTTGCCTTTTGTATTAAAAAAACATAAACTGAGGCAGCTTCTTATTTGTATTTGAGGACCCATAGAATTCTATTCTCTGCCCAAATAAAAGAAAATAAATTTAAAATCCATTATGTTTTCATTATGATGAAGGAATTGGGAGGAGCTGGAGACTGACTTATTTTATTTAGCCTGAGGTAGGTTTTAACAGAATATTGCATAGAGAAAAGCACTATAGGTTTGAAGGGTGGGCATTTATTGTCCAACACATTGCAAACTCATAAAGGAAATAGGAGCACTCTAAAAAAGAGGGTTGTTTGGAGTAATGAAATCAAGTTGCCAAAAGCAGACAGGAAAGGACCAGCCAAGGACTTTGGTTTATAGCCATGCATAAAACACATGCAGGTAATTACCTGGGTTAATTAAGCCAAAGAACATTTTCACCTGAGATATCTGAACTATGAAACCAAGTTAACAGTGTTAACAGAGTCTGAAGTTTAAATAAAGTTAAGTTTTGCTTCTTGCAATTGTTACCTAGTGTATGGATTCAATGACCTAAGACATGTTTAGAATGATACCTAGTGTGCAGTAAACACTTGTAAGTGCTACGTGTTAGTGTTATGTGCTCCTACAGTCAAGAACATGGCTGTTCACTGCCTGTGTTCCTCACTGACCAGGTTGGCAGCAATGCAGGATTCACAGTAACAGTGGCTGATTGGAAGCCTATTGACCGAGGTCTCAGGGACAACAGCATATTTCTATTCAAGTTTGAGAGGCTCCCTTGGGTCTACAGGATTGTAAGCAGCAAATCAGCAATGTGCATTGACAGAAGCTGGGCTTCAAAACCACTTCTTTCTAAGAAGTGTCAGAAATTCTCTCAATATTATTTTTTTATTCATTAATTTTACCTTCAAATGCATTTGAGATTGAAAATATATAGCAAACCTGAACATATTTAATAGATTCCAGTGTACTTAGATAATGTCTTAAAAACGTGATTCTGATGGGCCTTTGGCTCATCCTTTCTCTGTGATGCTTCTCCTTCATGAGTGGATACCATAGAGGATGCTGACAGCACACAAACTCTCCAGAGCTGAGCCAACAGGTAGAATTAGGATGCCAATCACCCCACCTTCCCAGAAGTCGAGGTGGCTGTTAGAATGCAGGATTTTCAGTTTTAAAACTCAGTAGTCTCAGGTAAAAAAGGATGAGTTGGTGATCCTAGGGAAAACCTAACCAGTAGCTTCTATCTGTCACTACACTTTTAGAAAGAGATCTGCCTACCTAACTCATCAACTTTCCCATTAGTACTTGACCACTTGTCCCAGTCTTTTCTAAGAAAACAAGTTCTTTTCCAGGAAGAACATTATTAGATTCGATCTCTCTCCCTTGGATCATCTCCCAATAAAGCAACTGGCTTCATTCACACTCAAGTGGAGGGAAATTAAGCTCCACCTCTTAAGCTGGAAAGTATAAAAAACTGTGGACATATCTTTAAAGCTACCACAACAGCAAAGGCAAATTTGACATATTTCATAAAATGATCTCTACCCAGCCATCAGCACCACCATCTGGAAACTGAATCAGCAAAAATTCTACAGCTCTCTCCAGGACCTGATGTATCCAAGTCATTCATTTACAGTCTAGCTTCACTTTTTCTGCTTGAGAGAAAGCTGGACTCTTTTGTCACCACAATTCAACTCCAACCTAGAGACATCTTGACAAGATTATGTTTCCAGAAATGCCACTCCTCAGAATGCTACATTTTGAACTGAAGTGATAACATGTATTGCATAGTCAATTTTGGGAATTATACATTAATACATTTGCCTTTACCCAATTAGCTATAGGGTCAGACAATGACCCCAGAAGAGAAGCAGTGAAAACAAAACATCACATCAATCCATTAAACAAAATCAAACCTGCAAATCAATGAAGTACTATTGTGTGTTTTCCTATTTTCACACATGCATTTAATTTCTCATTAAAGGGAACCATTCCTATTCATTTTAATCTGTCGCACATACAATTGTGTTCTTGGGAAGGATAAGGGGAGAGGGCAAAGAAAATTCTATTTCTGGGGAGAATATCCCACTAAAGATGTTATCCACAGAGTGGTTAGGATTAAGATCCAGTAAATTGTTCTATTTAAATTATTATATTAGTATAATATATCGAGACAGTAGAGTTTTCTCAAAGTTATTATATTTGTTTTTATTTTGTAGTCAGTTTTGCAACTGATATTTCTACAAATTCTCTTTTAGGGGGCCAAGTGATGTTTACCTCAGATTTCTAGCAAGTACTCCAAAGAAGAAAACATTCTGAAAAATTAATCAACTTTTCTCTTGAGTCAAGTCCAAGAAATGTTCTTGTCTTAACTACAAGCAGGAGAAATGAAGCACATTATCAATCCATATGAAAACATCAATAATTCAGCAAGAAATAATTCAGACTGTCCTCATGTGGTATTGCCAGAAGAGATATTTTTCACAATTTCCATTGTTGGAGTTTTGGAGAATCTGATTGTCCTTCTGGCTGTGATAAGAAATAAGAATCTTCAGTCACCCATGTATTTTTTCATTTGCAGCTTGGCTATTTCTGATATGTTGGGCAGCCTGTATAAGATCTTGGAAAATATCCTGATCATGTTCAGAAACATGGGTTATCTCAAGCTTCATGGAAATATTGAAACCACAGCAGATGACATCATCGATTCCATGTTCATTCTCTCTCTGCTTGGCTCCATTTTCAGCCTGTCTGTGATCGCTGCTGACCGCTACATCACCATATTCCATGCACTGAAGTACCACAGCATTGTAACCATGCGCCGCACTGTTATCATACTGACTATCATCTGGACATTCTGCACAGGGAGTGGCATCACCATAGTGGTTTTCTCCCATCACATCCCTACAGTACTCACTTTCACTTCTATGTTCCCTCTGATGTTGATCTTTATCCTGTGCCTATATGTGCACATGTTTTTGCTGGCCCGTTCCCATGCTAGGAAGATCTCAACCTCTCTCAGAACCAACATGAAAGGAGCTATCACACTGACTATCCTGCTTGGGGTCTTCATCTTCTGCTGGGCCCCCTTTATCCTTCATGTCCTCTTAATGACATTCTGCCCAAATAACCCATACTGTGCTTGCTACATGTCCCTTTTCCAGGTGAATGGCATGTTGATTATGTGTAATGCAGTCATTGATCCCTTTATATATGCCTTCCGGAGCCCAGAGCTCAGAGAAGCATTCAAAAAGATGATCTTCTGCAACAGGTACCAGTAGAGCTACTGATCCTTGATTGGAGGAGCCACAAGGATAATATTGTCAAGTGACAGAATAATGTAGCATATCAACAAATACAAATGTACTCAACCTCCCTTTCCTTCCCTAATGGACATGAGAAACCTCCCACTGATTAATATTTCTAATAGTTCAGTTCTACATGTCAGAGGAGCAGCTTTTATAACTAAGACATAAAGTGATATATCAAAAAGAAGCATTGGATACAAAGTATATACAACAGTATCAATTCAAGGGCTTTGAGATAAGGAAAAAATTGTTATTCTATATATAAACATAGCAAGTCTATCACTGAACTGGACTTTCCAGACTATAATCCATTGCAAACATCTTCTAGAAGTTGTACTACCTAGAATAACTTAGGGAAGAAATTGCAGGATTTTTATAAGCCAAAGTGTCTCAATAAATTGCTATAGTTGTATTTCTTACACCCTGTCTCCAAGCAGCCAATTCAGAGTTCCCACTTTCTCTCTCTCTCTCTTCTGTCTGCTATATTGTAAGCCATCTCAGATATTTTCAGAAGAGACAGAGAATAAGTTATGAACACCAATTAACTAGCACAATTTATTTAACCCATCCCCTATGTCTAGTTATTTAAACAAATGATTTGAACAATCAACAGACATATAATACAAGTGACACCTAAGCACATGAAAAATGCACATTTCTTATAATAAGAAAAATGTGAATTAAAACTATTCTCTTGATGAGATAGTGGGGAAAGTAGCCCATACATACATTGTTGGATGAGTTACAGATTGGTATAATCCTTAAAGAGAAAATGCAGCAATGTCTATAAAAACTAAAAAAACAAAACAAAAAAAACCTCACTGCCATTGTGTCAGTTTGGTTCACTCATAGCAACCCCTCCTCCTTGGGTTTCCAAGACAGTATCTTTATGGAAGAAGACTGCCCAATCTTCCTTCCGAGGTGTAGCTGGTGGGTTTAAACTTCCAGTCTTATGGTTAGCAGTTAAATGGCTTGGGCACTATGCCACCAGAACTCCCAGCAATATCTATATCTATAAAAATTACCTTTGAAGCAGAATTCCCATTCCTTGGAATTCACCCTACAAGTGGAATGTGCAGCAGTGACATAACAAATGTAAATGATTGTTCACACAACATACATTGAAATAGCAAAAGATTGGAAACAGCTAAAAAATTCATAACGGGTTTTCGACATTTACCGAGATGTCAGTTTAATTAACCCTCATAAATGTTGAGTAAGGGGTGGAAATAAAGGCTCCTACTTCGTTTAGCCTTGGGCAAATAAGTAGCAAATGAGTTGACACACTGACTGATTTTTCATGCTACAAACATCTACATAAACACAGATACAGAGATTAGGACTGAAGTAAAAAAAAAAAATATTTGCAAGTGTTTGTTTTGGCACTTGATACTAGGAAAAGCAAGCACCTACTTGGAGATCATGAATATAACTCTTAATTACTAAAACCAAAAAACAAGTTGTTATGGAGTCTACCTGGGTCAGAGTAGAACTGTGCTCCAAAAGGCTTTCAGTGACTGATGTTTCAGAAGTAGATCCCCAGGCCTGTCTTCTGAGGCACCTCTAGGTGAATCTGAACTTCTAGAAGCTGGGTGGTGAGGATGTGGGCACTAATATGACTATTATTCAAGAATGTTTTCTTCATCTATAGGACAGTGGAATGCTATTGAAGGGTTTTAAGCCAGGACAAAATCTTCTAGCATCACAAGATCTTCATGTTAAAAATATGTCCGGCTCTTGTATGCATCATAAATTAAAAGAAAGCAAGACTAAAAGCAGGGAACATCCAGAAGCTAGTTTGGTTCTTTTGGTAGGATAGGAGGGTAGCCTGGCTGACTGGGAGGGAGTGCAGAGGGTGGACATTTCAATTTTGGAGGTGTCATGACAGAGTTGCTGATGGCTTAGATATGGAAGAGAAGGGATCAAGAAGAATCTGAGGCAGCTCTTGGATCTGATGAGTCAGATGGTCAGCCACATACAGAGATGGGAAACAGGAGGAAGTTCTGAGCACACTGAGTGTGAGGTTCTTGGGAAACAGCCTTGTAAATATCAAATAGGCAATTGAAATTTTGAATCTGAAGTTGAGAAGAAAACCGATCAAGAGATATTTCAGTCAATAGTCAAGTGGGCAGCAAATGAAGTGACAGCAGTGACGGAGTGTGTCAAGTTAGCAGAGCCTGACTGTCTTAGTTCTCTAGTGTTACTATAACAGAAATCCCACAAGTGCATGTCTTATACAAACAGAAATTTATTCTCTTACAACTTAGGAGACTAAAAGTCTGAATTCAGAGTGCCAACACTAGGAGAGTCGGCTAGAAGTCTCAATTCAGAACTCAGGGTTTAGGGTCTGGGTAGAGGCTCTTCAATATCAGAATTCAGCTCTGCCTTCCAGCCCCATTGCAGCAAACTCAAGGATTCTCCTGACTCATGCAGCTACTGGCTGTTGAGGCTGACAAATCCAAGATTGGCAGGTAAAATGGCAGATCATTGACTCACAAGCTGTGAAGGCAACAATCCCAAGATTACAGGCAATACAGAAGGCCACTGATTCAAGCCCAGGAACTGGAGATGAAGATTGGCCAAATGCAGGATCCAAAATGAGAGCACTTTCCCAAAGCTTCACCATATATACTAGAAGCAGGTCACACCCGAAAGGCAACCTCCCTTCAACTAATTAGCTACTAATAGTAGATTCCGCTATGGAGGTGATTACACCAAATCCAATCTCATCTTGGGGAATAACTAAACCCAGCCACCAAACCACTTAAAATCATGGCCAAGCCAAGCTGACATACAACCTCAAATACCACACCAAAATATGGAAAAGCTCACAAAGCTGTCAGGATTGCCAAAGAATGATTCTTTGCACAGGTGGGTAGCATTTCCCACTTCTTGATCCTGTCTTACACTTTTTATGCCGAAAGTCTCAGAAGATCAAGGTGAAACGTTTCCTTAGTATGCCTCTTTGTCCCTTCTCTTTATGAAAATTCAATATCAGGGACTGGAGATGTGACAGATGTCATTTCTATTTTTCTGTTTCTCTCAATTTTCTCTATCTTGGGTTCTTATTAAAACAAAATAAAGCAAAACAAAATAAAACAAAACCCTCCTCCTTCTTCAACCACAAAAAGAAGCCCTTGAAAGTATTAATGAAGATGTCATATTCCCAGGAATCCCCTGACCCACCTCTTTCTTCCCCAGAGAGCTACACTCAAAATTCATCTCTGGTGTCCTGTATTTTCACTCACAGGTGAGAAATACAGCATATTATTATCCCTTCTTCTTGTAGTCCCATGCATGTCATGAGGGGCAGCAGTATCATTTTCATTTACAACACATGACAACTACAAAATAAACTTTTCATCATTTATAAGCAACATTGTGGTACAGTTTAAAATAGTCCTTAGCTTGGGAGCAGGAGTCCTGGAGTCTTGTTCTAATTAGAACATGAAGTAATGCCTTACTCTCTAGTAATCCTCTCACTCCACTTGTGCTAAGTGCATTTGAGAAGGCGAAAGTGGGTTTTCAAGATTCTGCAGAACCCTACAAGCTCCCATGGAATAGAGACAATGATGAGGGCAATAGTGTGTTTTGGCAGATGGCTAATCTGTCACCCCCTTCTATTTAGCTTTATTTTGGGCAGTTAAAAGTAATTTGGTCTGTGCAATACTTAAGGTCCCTTTCGGTTCTAAATATCCATTGTTAATCTATTATCAATATTCTTACATATGATAACCAGGATTTTTAATGTGAGTTACTGAGAAATATAGCAGTCCAGTAGTTTTGACAGCTACATTAGAACCCAGTAGGGCAGGAAAAGTGAAGATTCCCCACAACATTTATGCCCCTTACATCAAGTGACATGTAGTCCCTAGAAAGGCAACAGGGATATTTTCATGGTTCTAAAGACTAATAAAAAGAAAAGTAAAAAAACACTACTATAAGACTACATAAATGGAAGAACATACCATGCTCATGGACAAAAAGACTAAGCATTGTGAAAATATCAATATTACCTAAAGCATTCTACTGATACAATGCAATCCTGATCCAGATTCTATTAAAGTTGTTTAAAGACACAGAAAAATCAATCACTAATTTTATAGGGAAAGGAAAGAGACCCCAGATAAGCAAAGTACTACTGAAGAAGGACAAAGTAGGAGGTCCGACAAGTCTCAATCTCAAAAGCTACTGTACAATCATAGTAGTCAAAACAGCCTGGTATTAGTGAAATGACAGACACATAGACCACTGGAACAGAGTAGAGAACCCAAATATATATACATCCACCTAGAGAGAACTGATCTTTGATAAAAGCCTGAAATCCATTAAATAGGGAAGAGATAGTCTCTTTAAGAAATGGTGCTGGCAAAACTGGATATTTATTTGCAGAAAAATGAAACAATATCCACACCTCACACCATATAAAAACACTAATTCAAGATGGATTAAAGATGTAAAATTTAAACTACAAAGATCATCAAAGAAAACACAGAGGCAAATATAAGAGCCCTAATTTATAACATAAATAGACTAGCAAACAAATATACACAAACAGCAGAAAATAAACTAGGTGACTGAAATCTTCTAAAAATTAAATTTTTTTAAAAAAAAAATTTATTTTAAGAGCTTATTTTACATTCAATGTTACATGTACATTTCATTTCACTCCCCATTTACCATGCCCAACCTTAACCCAGTCTCCTTCCCTCCCTGCCCTGTAACCCTCCACCTGTGCACCTCATATTTATGAAATCCTGTTTGTCCTGCATTTCCTCAATTTGAATGCTGCCCCTCTGGTGCTCTGTGGTCTATTGTTCTAAGGGATGTATTACCATAGAGTATGTGGGTGCATCATCCTGGGTTGAGTGGTCTGCATGTACATCTTGTTAACTATTGGGCTGAGAACCAGCCCCTGGGAGTGAGTTTTATTCCAGGCACAGAATGTATTCCAGGACCATAGTTTTGGGGGC